ATATATATATATATATATATATATATATATATAATTTATGCATATAAGCGACACACTCAACAAAATACAAAGCGTCAACGTTCCATCAATGATTCATGACTGATGATGCAGACTTTACTCAATCAATATCCAGTGTAATATCATGTTAAGATAATAAATAATAAGGCAGTGTACGCGACCATATACGAATAGTAACACAATAAAATTGCATCGACATATATCTTAGAGTGTGATCGCATCAAATTGAATATCAAACTAGTTGTCCAAGTTGACACGTCTGAATTGAGAAGTTTGAACGTTGAAACTTACAAACGTGTTTTCTCGATGTAACACTTCGCGGTTCATCAGTATTGAAAAAAGGAATAATTTTATTCCATCGAATTTTACATGGTCAATACATTACATTTTCGTTTTTCTCGCCGCATGTTATCTAATTTAGAGAATACTTCCGAGTTCGATCATTGTAAGTAATATTTGTGAGTTAAATCGCAAAGAGTTAAGAAGAACCCTTAGAACTTAGAACATTAACAACGCTATTCCATGTGTTTCATTAATTAATACACGATCGCGTATTCGTTCGAAGAAAATAAGAAGAAAAAACAAAAAAAAAAAAAAAAAGAACCAAGGTTCGTTGAAATTGAGCACTTGCAAATAGTAGGAAAACAAAGAAACAGTAATTGTACGTCGCAAATTATCAATATGTATTTCGGTTCTTCCGACTATCGACGCAAGAATAAGTATGGATGATATGGGAATGATGATACCTGATGATGCCGTGAAAGTCAGCCGAGAAGAACTTCATACATATTGTCAGTCAGCGTCGAGATGTTTTTAATTTTATTGTACTGATGGTAGTGTTGTTTGTATTTTTAAATACGATATCAATAGACAGAATATAAAAATACAAGGTGTTACCAAAAGAACAATTAAGAAACTCGTTATGGCAAAATGTCGGCAGTTCACGGTCGTTAACGCCTGAAGGCTGTTAACGTCGAGTTCGTTCATCTCTTTTGTTCAATCATTGTTAACAAAACGGTTGCTCTAGAAATTTTCAATAAAATCGTTCAATTCTTGCGGTTGAGCATTTTCGGGCACTTATGTTTTATATCGATTATGCATTCGATGAATTTGCAACTGTCATAAGATTTTATAATATCAATTGAAAATTTGCCTTACGTATCTGACTTAAGTATAAGTTTTATCGTGTAGAGTTCAAATCGAACATCGGCAATGCTCTTATTCGCTCTGACATATCCTCGTGTATATTTCATCATAAAACGAGGATTATCAAACGCGCACAAGATTCAAATTCCGTTTCAGGTAATGAATGGAGATCATTATTATTATTTTTTTTTTTTTTTTTAACAATCTCTACTCTTTTCCTTCCCGTTTATGATGAATTGTGCAACGCCAAAAAAGAAAATTATTTAATCATTGAGTATTAAAATGGCTTTTGTCGTAAGGACACCTTATAAATAAATGCGAGGTCCGTCAAGTGTCCTGTAAAATATCCAGTCGTTTTAAAGTCTCATAATGTAATCGTTACTGACTATACATGCACTTATAGATATAACAAGTCTAGAACACGCTGACGTCGCACTTCGTTTATTTCGTTTATTTATTTGCTTTTGTGGATCATTGGGTTTTTCTAGCATAGCCGCTGGCGAAAGAAAGAAACGAACGAAAATTAAAAAAAAAAAAAGGAAAAAAATTTACGGAAATTTCAATTGCTTATCGACTATACAATGTACAGTCTTTACAGTGATGTCTCCAATCAGACAGGATGCGTATTAATTTCGATAGAAATAATAGTACAGTAATCTGCCAGAAGAATCATTAATCATGTGATTAATAAATGAAATGTTTTATATTCCCTATGTCTATCATCAATATATCGTTAAATCACAGTCAATTTTGTAGGAATGGATAATAAATAAATAATCGAGTTTTTGCCAAATTCGAAAGACAATTTACAAATCCTAAAAGAAAGAAATGAAAAAAAAAAATCACTACTGTTAGAGAAAATTCGTCGTTTTTTTTCACATTAATCCGTGTTGAGAAATGAAAGAGTTAAGTTTTCAAACCGAAGTGTTTTTCCTTCTAATCCGGATTACTCTATATTAAGTACATTTTATATAACTAATAAAATAATGAGTACATGTAATACATCACGTTACAGTTATATCACTGGCAATATATGAATGTTATCACTTTTGTAAGACATTAATAAATGCAACATAAAACTTTCAATTGCTAAAAATCGACTTAACATCGATAAAATGTTAATTATGATACAAAATATAAAATACAGAAATACATAATGTATATAGGCCAACATGGTTCAAAACGTTCTAAAACTAGAAATAGTTTTGATAAATAAATGTAAAAGAAAGGAGAAAAAATAGGAATATGATGTCACATTATAAGTTGTACAGCGTTCTTTAGAATGCAAACAAGTATATATCTAGTACAGTCAAATAGATTTATTGTAAAACACAGTTTACCGATAATAGATTTGGACTCATGATTCGAAGATTACTGTGTTATTATCAATTTATAAAATTAAGTACACAAGAGAGTATGCAAAAATTATATCAAATGTAATTTCAAGCCAGCGACTTTTCGAGGCAGTACCAATTCAGTCTTAAAATCATATATAATCAAAGTTCCCTGATTTTTGTTAGAAACTAACATAATGATCAAATCTTTAAACATTATATATATATATAATCAAAGAAAAATTCTCAAATTGTTTGGTTCATTTCGAATTAGTTCATTTGGCACAAAGTATATTCAGTATTTTAGCATACTCCAACTATGATGAATTTGCTATCCTATAAATTTTCATACCGTAACATTCCGTTTAGGCAGTACAAAAGAATCTTAATACACATTGTAAAATATAATAAAGAAAGAAAACTCAAAAATACTTATTAATCATTTTCGATTATCTTTGAGCCAATTCAAATTATAATCAGACATTTAATGTAAATTTTAAAAAATATATTTGTGTGCATAGACTAAAAATAAAGTACAGCAAAAGAAACAAAAGTACAGCTACTAAATAATGTAAACTAAAACTGAATGTTTGTGGAACTTTTAAAGATTTTATATTAAGTAAAATTGACAAGCATGCAATATATCAAATTGTGACAAAGATAATCGAATATGAATGTATTATATGTCATATCATCGTTTTCTTTCACATTTGTCGAAGAAATAGAAATTTTATGAACTGTATCTTAAATTAACGTATTACATCTTTAACGTCGTACGATTTATGTAAGGTGTAGGGAGCCAACTTTTCAGTTTATATCTGCGGATAAGTATTGTGGGTTGGGGTTATGTATGAAGGACATTCTTAAAATGTATAAGAACAAGATTAAGACGTCGCAGCTACAACTACTGGGGGAACAACGTCAGGTTCGCCGGCACCATCGGCTACTGCAGAATCAACGACCTTTTTGACTTTTATAGATTCTGCACTAGCTTCAGAGGAACTCTCTGGTTCACCATTTTGCGCAGATGTACTTCCGCTTGTTGATGAATTAACATTTTCATTCGATGACCCCTCATTTAGTCCATTTCTCTGTAATTTGTCATCTGACACTGGCACATCTGTATCTCCATTCTGTGTTGTACCATTTAATTTTTTCTTTTCGGAATCTACTGTATTCGTTTCTTTTGTTTCATCCGCTACAGTTTCTTCTTTCGTTGATTTCTCTGTTAATTCCTGTTTTGGTATCTCTGCACTTACTTGTTTTTCTGCGTCGTTTGCAGACACTGTTTTTTCTTCTGTTTCTTTCGTTTTAGGAGACTTTACATTAGTTAATTCTGTTTCTGTTTCAGATTTTATTTCCTTAATTTCTGTCGTATTCTTAATTTCAGTATTTGTATCTGCTTTGCTACTAGTAGCTTCTGGTTCTGTTATCGTTGGCGCAGTAATTTTTTCTACATTTGTTAATGGTACATTACCATTCTCTGCAGGTTTTTCTTCTGTCTTAGTAGGTTCTTGTGCAGGTTTTACCAAAGATTCATCATTTTCTGATAGTTTAGTTTCTGTTATACTAGGATTAATTATGATTTTCTCAGTGGATTCCTCTTTTGTTTCTTTCTCTGGTTTATTAGCACATTCTTCTGATTTTTCGTTTGTACTGTTACTATTTTTTTCTTGGGATACATTTTCTACAGGTTTTACATCTGTCATTTTCATGTCATCAGATTTTGTTTCTTTAACAATATTTGAAGATTCTTCAGTCTTATTCTCTGTAGCAGAAACTTCTTCAGACTTTGATTTAGGCTCACTCGTCCCGACATTCAACGTGTCATTAGCAGTATGAGTTGCCTCTGGTATAGATTCTACAGTTTTTTCTGTAGTATCTACAGATTTTTCCATTTTTTCAGAAACCGTGGACTTATCATCTTTAGAAGATGTTGCTGTCGATTCATTCACAGCAACTTGCACATTTTCGGAAGTGTCTAATTTTGTACTCACCTCTGACTGAAGGTCTACCTTTTCAGTTGAATTTTCCAGCTTTTCAGCGTTTGATGCATCTTTTGTATCAATAACCATAGGCTCTTCTATTTTCGCGTCTGAAGTGGGAGCTTCTTTTGATTGCTGATCTTTTACACATTCTTTTGCTTCTTCTTGAACAACTTCTTTTACTTCCACTTTATCAGATATTTCAATATCTTCAGAAGTATCCATTGGTTCATTATCAGCCGTACTTTTAGTTTTATTCTCTTGAGCTTCTGTAGCTTCTAACTTTTGTCGTTTTGTAGAAGTTTGAAATGTTAGATCTAAGAATGACTTAATAGTCGTGGAAGACATTCTTTCTTCATCTGTAAGAGGTGCGTTGCCTTCGCGTATTACTATAGTTGTTGATAAACCCGCTTTTTTTGCAGCCGCAGCTTCTATTATAGGGAAACATAAAAATTAATATCTATCTATAAGTATTACTATACTTTGAACTACACTAAAATGTCAATATACATAACCACAAACCTTTGACAACATCAGTTAAGAAAATTACATTTGATGGTTCTGCTCCAATTTTGTTTAATATATTTTTATAACTACTTGAATCTTGTTTTGCACCTACTTCAGTATCAAAATAACCACTGAAATACTAAAACACAATAATATATTATATTTTATATAAATTATGTAATAAAATACAATATAAATAATTTATTATATTCAACATTTATATAATAAATACTGTCATTTATTATAAGTGAACTATAATAAAGTACCTTAAGTAAGTCACCATGTACAGAATGTCCAAATAGAAGTTTTTGTGCTTCAACACTACCACTTGAATAAATATAGACTTTTTTACCATCACTTGTCCATGATTCTAAAGCTTTTGGTACATCTTCATAAACACTATATAAATAATTTATTCGTCAATTTTTGAATTATTTTTCATTATAATACAAATTGTTTATCACAATTGTAGTGATTTATTTAAACTGAAGTGAGCCCTTACACAACATATTCACCTCACTACATATGGTGTATATATTATATTGCTATACATATATTGTTTATATGTAAGCATTTACTTTTTTATAAATGTAGCATTTTTCTTAATATTAAAATTAATATTAAGATATAATAGCTAGTAACAAATTAAGAAATATATTCAGGATTATGTAGAGTACACTTACAGATAAACTTTTTATAAGCATACTACTAAAAACATATACCTATATATCATATTTGTTAAATGTAATAATTTGTAATAATTTAATATTAATAATATTATTGAATTTTTTATCCTGAAAATTTTTGTAAATAATAGTTGAAAGAAATTATCAAAAACTCACTGTGCTTTAATTGTTCCAGAATTATAAGCTTCACGCCACATGTGTCCTTGTAGTTGTTTCAATGCACCAGTCTTTCTATCACTATCCATTTGCCATAATATATTTTTTATAAGTGATTCTCTCTGTTCTTCTGCATTAGTACCAGTAATTGGTACAAAACCATCAATTTTATCTTCTTCATCTTTTTTTGCCTATAATGAAAATGTTAACAAATAATGCCCTTTTTTATTAACAAAGTCCCATAAAATTTATAAATATAAATAAATATTATTACATCTTATAAATATTACATTACATCTTTTGGAATATTAATACTGTTAAGAGTTTATAAACTCACAATTATGAAATAATTGTCTTGATTTATAATATTCTTAAAAAATATATAATTTATTTATAATATATTATTTATAATATATTGCTGTATATTATTTTATTCTTATTTTAAATTTCTTTTTGCTATATTAGTCATATTTAAATTATTTTAATGTATTATGATAAATTTATATGCATCTTAAGCTTTAAATAACAATTCTTAAAATAATATAAAAAGTGAAATATATTAAATGATATAAAAAATGAATTAAATAATAATAATAAACAAATGAACAATAAATCATTTATTTCAAATAAAATGATTATATAATTTATATAATATACTATATTATATAAATTATATATGCTAAAAATTTATTAAAATCTAATTGCAAGCTGCAGAAATATGTAATCTAGATAGATTTTTGAGACAAATATTCTCGTTAATGTGTAGTAGTTAAACAGCTGCTTCTTTGGATATTCTTAGTTTGGCATTATACTATTGGTCATTCTCTAAGGTGCATTATTAAAAAATTTGAGTAGTTATAAATTTACTGTGTTGAATTATAATTTTAATAATGAAAAAAAAAAAGAAAGAGATATTTAGAATATATACAATAAAGTAGTAGTATATTGTGTGCGTGCGTGTGTGTATGTGTATGCGTGCGTGTATATATATATATATGTATTTAACATAAACAATCAATAATATCATTCAGATATCATAATCCTTTATATATATTTTAATATTTTTTTAATATTAGTGCAATAAATAAAAAGATTATTTTTACATAAAATATTTATGTTAAAATATACCACTGTTCCCCAATGTTTACCTGTTCTTTCAATTTTTCATAATCTTGCTTGAATTCTTCATCTTCCCATTTAGTTTCGATATATTTCTTTAAATTCTCTCGCACGTAAGGAAAAAGCGTATCCTGAAAGGAAGGTAAATGTGAATATAGTACATTCTCGCCGATTGAATTAACAATGATGGTCGTTACGGTTTCCGTTGTTTTGAAAAATATTGTATATACAATAATCTTCGAGCGATATTACTCTAATCGAGTAGCGATATTTTTGTAATTCACGCCACCTTACGAATACACCGAATTTTCTAAACGAATATTCAGATTGTTTTCACTTGCAACATAATAAAACAACAATTCAAGCAATTTTGAAAGAAAAAAAAAAAAAAAAACATTAACTCGAGTAAACAAATGTAAAAATGTTAAAGTTCAAAATAAGAATGTTTGCACGATCCGTACGACATTTCATTTGCTTCAGATTCAGATGAAAGCATGGTACATATTGCCTTCCATGAAACTCGCTGTCTCACGAACAGGGAACCTGAAACTGGATTTCAGCCGGCATAGTAAATGCCGAGAGAAGAACACACACACACAATACGCGCGAAAGTATAATTCACAAATTTTCAATGCGTGCGATGACTCTACGATAACGTTCGGAAATTCGTCAGCGAGAAGTTGCCTCCGTAGGAAATTCCGATCATTAGGTATTGTCAGAGAGTATGTCGGAAAACCGGTGAAATGCGAGAACCCGTAGGGCGCGTTCTACCTCACGGCCATAGTCTTTGTTACCTTCACGAAGCTTATGCTCGTCGTGGTGCCTTCGATGTCAACCAGGATCACCGTTTCTGACAATAGGGTCTCTTCTTGATCCTGAGTACGCTTTTCCCCGGCCATTTTTATGATTGACTCGCCTTCGACCGCAGGATAAATAACAAATATATCACCTCAGTACGTTCGAGCACGGTGTATATGTCGACGCGTTCTTGTTGAGAGCCGGCGAGTGAATTCGCTCGTCGTTCTGCGCCGGTGTGTGTGCAAACCTGCCTCTCCCTTCGCCCCTACTTGTGCCGATCAACCAGGATCGTATTTATTTCGCTTGTCCTCGATTATGCTACCGCTAAACTCTCTATTGCTTTTTTCATAAAATAATTGCAATTTTCACAGCCATGCACGAACTTTTCCAATGCATAGGCCGTTTGAGCATTAAGACCATATTTTTACGATTCTTGTTCTCATTATCACTGCATTAGCTCTATAAAATGATCGTTCTTACGGCAGATTATGTTTTATCATACATTTATTTAAATTTATTATAAAAGTATTACATGAAAGTAGTTTATAAATGTATTATTTGTATTTACCGTAACGCAACGGTAAAGTTGAATTTTGCGTGTTCTCGTTCGAATCAAAGACCAATTGATAGCAATGTTAGTTTTACTTGGATAAAAAATCATTATTACTACATGGAAAGTTGTTTCCTTAAGAAATGAATGTCTAAATACGCGATCTGGAACAACCGGTCGCTAAAATAAAAAAGAATATTTTTTAACATATAGAGGTGATCTTGTACGATAGATACGTTCCTGAATCTTGGACGAAAATTTTAGGTCAGTGTTGGTGAATATGTATTTGTAGAAAAGAGCATGTGTTATGTATGTGTGAATCGCTCGCTTCCTTCAGCCAATGAACGAGGCTGGTTTGCGTCTGTGCGATCGTAGCACGACATTATTGCTCCGCAAAAATTATTTCGATGAATAATCGTTTAATAAATGTAGACTTTCAAAAACTTTTACATCGGAAGCTTTCTAAAATTTAAGTACACGCTCCTCAATTCATTTTTCAAGCAAAGTAAACTATGATTACAGTAAAAAACCAGGATAAATATTGACTCGCTCGAACGGTTTCCAATATTACTCCGCGTAAAAGTAGTTCCTCATGTGTTATTTTTGTTAATTTTCCAAAGACTTAAGAAAATTCGAATGATACGTATGAGTAATACGAAATACTCTATATAATTCATTTATATGCTGATTTTCCTACATTATAAAGTTCAAAATCTCGTTATGTATGATTACAACTATAAAATAATACAGCTGGTAAATTCGACCACCTGATTTTTGCGAGACAGCGCCGCGTCGGATACGGAGGCGCAACCATTTAAATTTTGACATTTGTCTCAGCTGCACGTGTACCTCGACTGTATCTACATATGAGAACTACGCGCACATTTTAATGTTAAGAATTGTTGCGCATTTGTATGTATTTTTTTTATTTATTATACTTCTATAAAAGATATTCGCGTTAATATTTTCGAAACTTTTGAATTTACATGTTTTATTACAAATGTATAAATATTATAAAAAAATTGTAATAAATACAAATTTAATTTTCATAACATAATAATATAAAAATATTAATTTTTATTCTTTTGTATTGTTATAAGATTGATTAGAAAATATGTTACAAAAGAAAAAAAATATAAGTATTTCTTTTTTATTATAAAATTTTCTTAATAGTTATTACATAATAGAAATAATTTCATATTATATGTACAATACTTAAAAAATAATAACTGAATGTATGTATAATGAATTACATAATTTCTTATTCTAAATACATTCAATATAATATAATTACAGTATCATAAAATTATATTTATTATTTGTAAAGCTATATTATTATTATAAATATAAGATTCAATGCAACATGAAGATTACTTTGCAATGATTTTTTTAATATTATTATTCTTATAATTTTGCTCATATAAAGATCTTTTCATATACATATAAATTATATTGCTTTGTTAAAGATTTGTATCTTTAATACTTGTATAAAAATAAAAGGAGAATAAAAATAAAACATTTAAAAAATTTCTTATATAATTTTAATGTTAAATCATGAAAAATATTGTAATGTTAAAATTATGAAAAATATTTGTCTGACTTTTATTTTCAAATATAAAAGTTTAATTTTTAATATTTTTATAGATAATTTCAGGTACTATATTTGTAACGTATTGTTTTATATATTATATTTTATAATTAATTATTTTATGGAGGACTAATTTCAAAAAATATAATTATTTATATTTTTATAAGCAAATCTACAAATCTATTTAACTACCATTTGAAATTAGGAATATTATAGTAAATATATTTTACAAAGGGGAATATTATAGTAAATATATTTTACAAAGAAAGAGAAGTAATAATTAATTTTATATAAAAAAATATTTCTTAAAAAAATTTTGAGTAAAAAAGAAATTGTGTAAGTTTTCATATAAAGAATAAAATTTTGTATTAAAATACAAGGAAAAGCTATTTTAATAAAATATTAACGTATTATTTATTATTGAATTATATAACATTTCATAATAATAATTCAGTGGTCAAAATATAATTCAATATGATTAAATATACAAAGTAAGCTTTAATGTCTTTATTAAGTAAAATAATAATTAATGCTCTTCTGATTTTAAATTATATTTAATTTATGAAATGTCTAAAAATATATATCAGTAAAGAATTTAAATATAAAATAGTTAAAATAAATGAATTTTTGAATATTTAATAAATAAATATAATATAATAAATATGAATTTTGTATGTATTCTAATTGATTAATATATTTTAAACTAATTGCATAATTAAAATTGCGCTGTGTTTCTTTAAAGATAGTATAATATATAAATTATATCTTCTCAGATTCTGTATTTTGTAATTTTTTTAATTTTTCTCCCAAATGTTTATTTAAATGTATTCTAATTTCTTGTTGATTATTACATCTTTGTCCACACTCTGGACATTCAGGATCTCCTTCTCCATGTTCTCTTTTTCGATGTTTAGATCGATTATTGTAAGTAGAAAACGATTCCCCACAATCCGGACATTGATAAGGTTGTTCACCAGTATGTTTTCTGCGATGATGATCTCGGGAGTCTTTTCTTCTAAAACTCATATTACAATATTCACAGACAAATGGTTTTTTTCCAGTGTGTAATAATACATGATTATATAAAGATTTCGTGTCATTAAATCCTTTTTCACACTGTGCACATTTATAACGTCTTTCGCCATTATGTTTACTTTTAATGTGATTTACTAAAAGTTGTTTTACTCTATATGTAGCATCACATATGTCACATTGATAAGTAGGATTTACTCTTCCTTCATGTATTTTTTCTTTATGTGCTTTTAAAGACATCTGATGTTTAAATTTCTCATTACATTCTGCACATTCGTACCATGGTTTTTGTTTTGTCAGAATTGGATCCTGATTATTTATTTCATGATCTTCTACCATATGATATTTTAACATGCGATATGTCGGAAAATCTTCTATACAAATTGGGCATGTAAATAATTGTGGTAATGTTACACTTTTATCATTTTTCCAATGCTTTTCTAAATGTTCATTCATATTCTGCTTTTTACTGAATGATTTATTACATATATTACAAGTATATCTATTATAAGAAAAATGAATTTTTCTGTGAAGTTTCAAAGCATTTGTAGTTCTACATCGTTGACCACAGATATCACATTGATATGGCCTTTCTCCTGTATGAATTCGATGATGTTCTTTTAATCTAGCTTTCAATTGAAATGACTTGCCACATAATTCACAAATGTGAGGTCTTGCTCCTTTATGAACAAAAAGATAATGTTCATATAAAGAATTTTCTGCTCTAAAATCTTTTCCACAAGTACTACAGATAAATTCATTCATATTTTCATTATGTCTCATTTCATGAAATTCTAGTCTTTCTTTTCTTACAAAATGTTTAGGACATTTAGAACAATGATATTGACGTGGCGAAATGACTTTTGTTTCATTTCCATCTATCATCAAAGAAAGTGTAGTATCTTCACAAGTAACACATGTAACTAAGTCATTAATAGCATCCGGATCTAAATCTGAGATCAATTTGCCACAAAGATTACAATTTATAGATACTTTTTCTTGTTTTGTTGTTGCTATAGCTTTTTGTATGACATCTTCACTAATAGTATCTTCACTAGTACCAACTTGTATTTGTTTCACACCAGAATGTTTATAATTTTTTTGATGCCCATTTAGTCTAGATCGTTTTGTAAATAATTTGCCACATTCTATACAAATATAACGTTGTAAACTTTTGTGTATGTGGAAATAATGATCCCATAATAAATTTTCATTACTTGTTTCTTTATCACATAGAGTGCATTCGTATTTATCTATTTTACCTAATTTATGCCTTTCCATGTGAAATTCATATTTTAAATGTGAAAGATAACGGGCTCCACATAATTTACATACATACTTTAAACAAGATTTATATATATCATTTTCATCTTGTATATCATCTTTTTCAAGCATGTCTTGTGATTTAGTTACACATGTATCTTTCTCACTTTTGTAATCAGTTTCACTATCTATCCAATAAGCATTATCACTTTCAGGTTCATTTTTTACTAATAGATCTGTAGAATCATAATCATAATCAAGTAAATTACTAGATACATGCAATGTTTCTTCTTTAAAATTTTTTCTTAATTCTTCCTCTACCTCAATTTTTAAGTTTTCTTTGCCAGATAATTCATTGATACAGTTTAAATTTTCTTCTTGTAAAACAGGTAATGTTAGATTTACTTGATTAGTTGTATTTTCAATATTTTCATCAATTGTTGTTTTGTTTCCTTGTTTTATATGTATATTATTTTTAGCATCATTAAAATGTACTATATCTTTATGTACGTTTATATACTTTTCTTTTGGAATATGTTTTTTTTCAGAATGATTTACCATAGCTAATGAGATTTGGAAGGTATAATCACAGCTTTGAGAATTACTAACTAATAAAATCATTAAATCTACATTACAATTTGGACATGTATACACAGCATCACTATGTATCTGAGAAAAGTCTGTTACTTCTTTAGAAAGATTAAAAAAGGATTTTATTTGCGATGTCTTCTCCAATTTTTTGGAATATTCTAATACTTCTTGAATAAATTTGTAGTAAAAAATGATTTTATCATAACATGATAAACATACATACTTTGAGCCACTATCATCAATAGATATCTGTAAAAATTATTTAAATTATAACATATATCTTATGATATGAAACAAATAAATTATTAAAATATTTTAATAACTGTTTTATTGGAATGAAATATTTAAGAAATATATTAAAAAAATTTGAATATGTTTAATTTTTATTAAATATTACATATTGACATACTGTTATTGGTAATGTTTCCTTTATTTTATGTATTAAATCTGTTGAACCTCCAAAAATACTTTCATGCTTTCCTTCTGTAAGATTTACACCACATAAACGACATATTAATGCATCTTTTGAAGCATCCATAACTAAATCTCTGAAAAGTTTATTGTAAGATTATTAAAAGTTTATATTATAATTAATATTTTCTATTTTTTTATATCTTAATAAATCATTGAATAATTAGATGAAATTTATTAGAAATATATTGTACTTAGCAAAATATATATACTTACACATAATTTTGATGATTTGTTTATTTTAGGTTATGTCCTTATGTGTATCAATAGAATTACATCACATATACATTAATTAAACCATAATTCTTTTAATATAAACAGTGTACACGTTATAAAAATTTCTTTCATAAGTTTTAAATATCATTTGTATTATATTACTAGCGATTATATTACTTTATAATATTAATAACTATATGCTTTCCACAACAATAACTTAAATACTTTATGAATTATTATACTTTATAAGTATTTTATGAATAACGTTTGACAAGTTGTTTATGCTTAACACTATACAAATTTTTTTCATATAAACTAATAAATACACATTCTCAAATAAAAATAGCGTACATGAAAAGGTAGTCTTTAAATTATTATTTGTGTGTGCGCACGTATTTATATATATGTACATACATAACCATTTGAAACAAATGTTGAAGAAAATAAAAAACACTCAAAATGTATTAATGTTGGAAGTTAATCCCAATGAAATATTTAACAGAAACAAGAAATGGATAGACGAAAAAGTATAAATTTTCTTATTTTGAATGTATTCAATATTTTTCTGTTACATTCAAAAAAGTTTTAACAATTTAATTATTCAAAAAAGTTTTAACAATTTAATTATAGGTTATTTAGCTTGCAATTTATATACCATTTCTCTTACTTATATGCAATATAATTTAATGTGTAGAAATTGATCCAATTAAAATATCAATAAAATGTTACACGAAGTATTACTGTCATTATGGGGATGTTCAACTAATGCTTTGCAAATATTGGAATCAGATGTGATTATAATATAACATTTACTGATATTAAATTACACAAATTAATTGTATATGCAGTTTATTTATGTTCTTTAATTTATTGTTTTCAGACTGTAGATCTTGAAAAATATTTGCATCCTGGTGAACGTGTATTACTCAAAGAAATATTAGATATAGTTGAACAATGTAATATTATTAGAAATTTCATTCAAGAATATACTACTTCTGACAACTTAAAATCTACTCAAGGTATTAGAATTTGATATTAAAATTAGTTATATATATATATAAATTATATATATATTTATATAAATTATATATATATATTTTATATATATTAATTATATATATTATATATTTTACTATGTATTAATTTATAATTTATGAATTTTCAAATATAAATTCTAGATTTACAAGATGTGCCTCAAGGTTTATACTTACAAGCCTTTTGTGAAGGAATGGATCAAGCTTTGGAACCATTTCGTAAAGAGATTGTTGATCTAGAAGATGTAGTTCTTCGTGATAGTTATACTCCACTGTCATTAATACTTTGTCGTATCCAAAAATACATTTGTCTATTTTCTGTTTTAAATTCTATCATAAAAGAGGTAAATAAAGATTATTTATTTAATGTAATTTGCAGGTATGATTTAAAATAATATTTGAAATATTTGAAGAAAAAATGTAATCTGTTTCAGATTCGCACACAAAAAATTCATGGTTGTAAATTGTTACAATGTTTGCATCAAAATATGTATACTGGTATTCCTGATGTAAAGTCTGCAATAGAAAAGTAAGTATTAAATTATAACATTTTGTTTTATTTTGATATTTATTTTTGTTAATTGTTTTATTTTATTTAGAATGTCTCACTGTGTACACATAGTTTTTTATAAACACTTGACCAGCTGGCTTTTATATGGTCATTTGGAAGATGTGTACAATGAATTTTTTATTCAAAAAATATCTGAGAGACGAAACAGCTTAATATTAGCAGATAATAAAGATAATTTTGATAAAGTAAATACAAAATTTACTGCAGATATGTGGAATTATGATGTTCAAATAGATATGCTTCCTTCCTACATTAGACCATCTTTAGCAATTAAAATCTTGACTATAGGACAAACTATTATAATGTTTGGAAATGACCCAAGACAAAAAAAAGGTAATTTATATTTAAAACATTTTAGATTGATTAAAACATAAAATGAATTAACTGATTTATTTGTTAACAGATTTTGCTATAGTTGATCAAACAGAAACTTCTATATGGGGAGAAAAAGAATATGAATATTTTCTTAAATTTCAGAATCTTCAGAAAAAGCATATTTTCGATATTGTTGAATTTGAACGTACAATTGATGAATTAAAACAGTGTATAACAGAACTTTTATGGCGAGTTGCTGTTGAAGAAGCACAACTTGTACAGCAACTTAAATTAGTTAAAGATTTCTTTCTTATGGGACGTGGTGATTTGTTTCTTGAGTTTATTAGACTTATAGCTCATATATTAAATAAACCTCCAACACAGCATACCTCTAGAGATATTAATTTAGCTTTTCAAATGGCTTTAAGAAAAATGCATTTAAATGATGAAAATGCTATGGACAGCTTTAATTTTATAGTTCCAATTCCAGCACAAGAAAATGAAGATATTGAGGTAGAAGGTACAGAATTTACTGAAAAGGAACGTGAAGATCCTATTGGTAAAACCTTTTTTTTATGTACTATTATATTTTCTAAGTGAGCAAAATTTTTGATATATATTATTTATGTTATTATAGAAAGACGTGGATGGGGTATGATTATTTTGAAATACAAAGTTATATGGCCATTACATTTATTATTTAGTCCATCTGCTTTAAATGATTACAATACATTATTTAAATTTTTACTAAGAGTTAAAAAAACACAAATTGATTTGTGGAATCTTTGGAGTGAACATATGTATTACAAAAACATGTAAGATATTCTAATATTTTATATATACAATAAGTTAATTTTTATTATATGTTAACAATTTACATTATTATAGTGATATTGGTGTAATTCAGCTGAGAAATAATTTAATTTTCATCATTGATAATTTACAATACTACTTACAAGTTGATGTATTAGAAAGTCAATATACTATAATGGAAACAAATATAAAAAATACCCGAAATTTTGAAGATGTACAAAAGGCTCACTGTATTTTCTTGGCTAATGTTATGTCACAAACATTTTTATTAGGGAATGCAACAGAAAGAAAAAATCCTGTATGTTATATATTTATTAATTTAAACAATTTTATAATTTTTTATCTGTTTATTTATTTAATAAATATTTTTGATAGGTTAATAAACTAATAAAACTTTTACTACGACTTTGTGATGATTTTATCTTACAAGCATCAATGTGGGAAATAGGTAATTTACTTTTAACAGAACAAGAAGAGCTTAAAACATTATCTGATACTCTTGAAAGTTTAATGGGTTGGCTAACTAAAACACTGAATAGAGTTCGTGCACAACCAAGTGGAGAACATTTAGCTCAGTTGTTATTAAGACTGGATTTCAATAGATGGTTTAGTAAAAAAATATAAAAAAAAACCTATTTGAATCTGAGTAATAGAAATAATGAAAAAACATGTGATGTTTTAGTATTTTGTTTTAAAATTATTCTTTATATAAATTTATCTCTACACACACACACACACACACATGTATATATATTAAACTCGTTTTTTGTTTACTTGAAATATTAATATTTTTTTGACAATGAAAAATGCAGTACAAAAGTCTAATTTTGTTCTTAATTTAATAGAAACATATTAAAAGATAAAAATAATGTTCATATGTATCAAATAAATGTAATATATAATAAATATATTTTTTTCATTAATTTTTTCACTAAAAATAAATTATTTCTTATTGTAATTAAATATTTTAGAAATAAATAACTTAACTTTAATTGTAATGTAAATAATAATTGACTTCATATTATATAAGTATTAATTATCCAACTGTATTAAATGGATTAAATAATTATAATTCTCACAGACGATTTCATTATATTTATTTACTTATATTTACCATATTGTTGATTTAACTATGATCAACACACACATATTATTATATATACATAGATAAATTAATAAAAAATGATGTATAATAAGAATAACAATAATAACAATTTTACAAGAATATATAAATATATATTAAAATTTTAGACTCTTTTCTTTGCAACTTTTATAAATAATACCATATCTGAAAAATAATTTTATATATTGAATTCTTATTATATTTGATACAAGTATTTTATAAAAATTAGTAATTATAAAATTATATTATCATATTAAGATCATATTAAAATATTATAATATAATACATTATGTATTAATACTTACTAAAAAATACAACTAAAACAAATGCAATCATCACCCACATCCAACACCTCCAATGGGATTGTGTATGTTCTTGTAATTTTAATGATTCTGTTTTTAATTTAGCTGTATTAACATCTGTTAATTTATCAGATTTTTCAAGTAAACCAATATCTTTTTTTATAATGGCATTTGCTGCTAAAGCATGTTCTTTCATGCTGCTAGTCATTGAAAGCATATTTTCAGCAATTTTTTCTTGAATATTTCTATTGTATTTTAAAAATGCATCCAAATCATCATCTTGTATGTTTGTACTAGCTAGTCTTTGTCTTATACCATCTTCTAGTGTTCCTAGAAATAATAAACAATAACAAGAAATAATAAACAATTAACAAAGATTTGCAAATTCTCTTTCCCAAATAAAATAATAGTAACATACCTTTATCATTATGAAATAATTCAACACGCATTTCTCTATTATATTTTGCTGAAGTTTTTTGATGTATTTGAGTTGTTATATTTGGACCTATTGAGTCAGTAAATGTTGTAGAACTTTTAGGTAACATTTGTACAGCTGCAACTCTGTCCACTGGGTTTATAAGTTTAGTTGTATTTACCAATCCCTTTAGGAAATCTATTCGTTTAATGTAACCCATCATAATATCTTTAGATGGTTTGCTAAAATATTATTGACATTAATAATTTTATTGTAATTTTAAATATAATGTGTTGTCATTTTGTTTATACATTATTTGAAATATATTTTCATCAATAAATGTTACTTTTTTTTTAAACAAACAAAATAGGACGATACCTTGGTAATGTTTGTAACTGTTTAACCATATCATCCAAAGTAAACATATACTGAAATAATCGATACATTTTAAATAAATTAATTTAATTTCAATAAATGATTCATTTTTTAAATTGTTTTTAAACCTTCTCAAGTTTCCAATCCTTATGAGGATCATCCTTTGCCATCAATTCACATCTTGTTAAAAGTCGTCTGATGTTAATTTCTTCTCTGGACATTTGACTCATTTTTTATAATTGATTATAAAATTGATTTTTTATATTGATGATTATTTAACAATTTATGAATAAATACTATACATAGAAGCTATATATATACATATGGGAATTAGTTAAAAAATACTTTATTAAATATTAAAATTTTAAAAATATATGTAATATATAACTAGAACTAACTACAAATTGATAACAACAGTACTACACATTATATATGTATGTCATACGTATGCACTAAATGATCCATAAAATTTATACAATCTTCCTAGAAACATGTATCTTCTATACGATTACACTTATAAATTGAAGTGTTATACATTGAGAATAATATTTAAAAGTTCGTAAATTAATTAATTTTTTAAAATATTATTATTTTAAACATATTATTACAATCATTGCAATTACGTATTCTTTTTATTACATTTTTAAATATGCCGCTACAAATTCATCACTAGACGATAATAATTTATTGTGAACGAAACGGTGTACAATGCATTTTTTCATCGAACCACAACTAACTGACTTCATCAGTAGACGCCTTTATAATAATATAATTGTTAATTTGTATATATACGTTACATGTTGTAGGCGTGGGAATTTTGTATCGAGGCGTGCGGAATGTGCAGAAAAGATAAATTAGAAAGTTTATAACATACGAATATACATAGACAAGTACTGTGAGAAATACGATAGTCATAGATAGCGATTGACGTTGGCATACATCACTTGGGGGGCCGATCCCAGTGCATTTCTCAGTAGATTGACAGAATTACTAAGATGGCTGATATAAAAGAATCTCCACCGCTATTTGATACTAATGAGACGAAAGTTGATGATTTAGACGACGACGATGAAGATATTTTTGCATCGGCAGTACAGGTAGTTTTTATATTGTTTCAGACATGTGCGTAAAAATTCTACAACCTATATATTACATTCACAAGTTTATTTTTGTTGTAATAAATGTAATATTTGTACTTCACAGTTAAAAAATAAGCGATTTAAAGTGAGATAGTAATTTCGTAATCACACGTTATTTAAAAAGAATCTGTTTAAATATAGGATCAAAATCAATTGGAAGATTCATCTCCTTACAATGGAGTGTCAACTATTCAAGCAGAATTGCCAAAGTTAACTTTGCGAGATGCACCAGAAGAAAATTCATTTTCATCAGTATCGAGTCCTGCACCAGGACCATTAAGTTCACCTTTGGGACCAATGAGTACTGACATAGGTGATCTCCATGACGTTCCCATAAATGATAATACAGATGTACTTTCAACAAATGTTATGCAACCTCAATCACCTGATGTGGTATATTTTAAATTATTAAATGTTAATGATAATTTAAAGAATGTATGTTATAGTTTATATATTTTTTTAGGTATTGACAGATTCTTCTGATGTTTTCTTGAAAATCACTGTAACTTCTCCTCAAAAAATAGGAGATGGAATGGGTGCTTATGTTGCATATAAAGTTGAAACAAAAACAAATATGCCAATATTTAGAAAGAGAAATTTTAGTGTTATTAGGCGCTTCAGTGATTTCCTTGGCCTTCATGACAAATTAACAGATAAATATCTTAGAAATGGAAGAATAATACCTCCTGCTCCAGAGAAGAGTGTTATTGGTATAGAAATTTATATAGATATTTTGAATTGATATCATTTTCATTATATTGTTTAATAAAATAAATTAAATAATTATATGATTAGGAACAACCAAAATTAAAATGTCTGGTGACAAAAATCAAGAACAAAATTCCAGTTCTACAGAATTTATTGAAAAACGTAGAGCAGCACTTGAAAGATATTTGAATAGAACTGCAGCTCATCCAGTCCTCAGTGTTGATCCTGATTTTAGAGAATTTTTAGAAGCTGGTAAATCATAGTATAAAATAAAACATATTTTAAATGCAATCATACATATAACTTTGTGTATATCTTAAACAGATATGGAATTACCTAAAGCTACTAATACATCTGCACTTAGTGGTAAAGGAGTAATGAGGTTGTTTAACAAAGTTGGAGAAACTGTTAACAAGATAACATATAAAATGGATGAAACTGATAAAGTAAAATAAAAGAATGTTTGATAATTTTTTGCACTATATATATTATAAAATTGTTTGTGCCGTTTATTTAATTAATTGCATAGAAAATCTAAATGAGTAAATTTATAAAATATATTTGTGAAGCAAAATTTTTAATGTTTCTTATTTTTTAGTGGTTTGAAGAGAAGACATCGCAAATTGATTCTCTTGATGTTCAGTTACGTGCATTACATTCTGCTGTTGATACTTTAACTAATCAAAGAAGAGAATTAGCAACATGTACTGGTGCAACAGCAAGATCTATTGCAGTTCTTGGTCATGGTGAACCAGGAGCATCTCTTGGAAGGGCATTAGCTCAATTAGCTGAAACTTTGGAGAAAGTAGAAGTAATCAGAAGAGCACAAAGTAATAGCGATCTTTATCAGTTTGGAGAAATGTTAAGAGATTATGTTGCTCTTATTGGAGCAATAAAGGTTAGTAATTAGTGGTGTGTTTTGTATTTAAATATTGTGCATTTCATCAATTTAAAATATTATTATTAATTTTAGGATGTATTTCACGAAAGAGTGAAAGTTTTTCAAAATTGGCAACATGCTCAAATGATGTTAAATAAAAAAAGGGAACAGAAAGCAAGATTAGAACAATCTGGAAGAACAGATAAAACAAGTCAAGCTGCTACTGAAGTAATAGAGTGGGAAGCAAAAGTTGATAGAGGGCAAGAAGAATTTGACAATATTTCAAAAATGATTAAAAAAGAAGTTGAAAGATTTGAATTAGTGAGAGTGGAAGACTTCAAGAAACAGTTAACAGAATATTTGGAATCAATGTTACAGTACCAAAATCAACTTATTAAATATTGGGAAAGCTTTTTGCCTGAAGCACGAGCAGTGGCATGAACATTTCCAAAGTAATATACAAACTTTTCCTTATTATAAGGAAAACAAAAATCTATAAATAAAAAGTTTCGTGCAATTTTTTTAAGCAAACTTCTAATAAATGATAAATAACGTTCTCTGAAGAACGTATATTTATCGATTTGCGGTACAATAATGTTTATAATTTATAATAATGAAAGAAATATCATATTATGGCAATATTTGGGAAATTTATAAACAATAATTTTGAAATACTGCCGATGCTTTTATAAATTAAAAAGCAACAAAAAACGGCATATTTCATTCAAATTTTTAGATATTCAATTTATGTCGATTATTCCTGAGTATCATGCGTTTATAATCTTCTTACTATTAGTTTATGTTAGAGATATAAAGCGCATAATACCGTTTGTTAAGAAATGTTATATGATAATAAAATCGATTAAGATTGTATAAATAGAGAACATTAAATATCTATTTGTTAAAACAAAGTCTAATCATATAGTTAATATTATGATAACTTATGATTTTTTATATTATTTCCAGAGTAGCGAATAGGTATTTCAATAAAGTTTTTTTATTAAACTTAACATAATTATAATATATACTTTGATAAGTATGAGATAAAGATATCATATTTTTCTATATGTTAAAAAGTTAACTATAAATTGTAATAAAATTAAATCGTTAAATAATATTTATTCCTTATATTTTATTTATTGAAAACATTTCATTAACGTGTAATAAATATTTTGTTGATCCTGCATAAAATATAATTGAGGAAGAACTGTATAGAAGAAATTAAATGCTGTAGTTTGCTATGTTGGCTAACTTGTTCCAGCATGTAGAATTGGTATAGTGTCATGTTAATACATGTTAACTCTTTCATATGTCGTGTAGTTCATCAGTGATTATGAATTAAATTAGGTTATCAATTATTTATTGCAGTTAATTGTCATTGACAATTAACGAAACTCGTGGATGAATTTTGTTCTCATTTGTGCGAGTGTTTTGCATACGTGGCAGAAGCTGCCACCAATCAGAAAACGGGGGTTTTGAAGGCGTGGCTTCGAACACGTACACTTGTCTGTGCCTTCGGCAGCCATAATCTTGAGAAGTCGTGTGTGAATTCTTGTCGTGATTCTCTGTAGGCAAACAGAGTTCGTTGTTCATTTTACATTCCTCAGTGGAAGCGATCTACTGAATTTTCGGTGAGCAGTGTAAGTTCAGTGAATTTATTAGTTCTATTGTTTTAACGATATGTTAGTACAATATAAATCATTTTGCCGGTTTTATTCGAGTCATAATTTAATGTTGAGGAACTTGTCTCATCTTCAATAATTATGTCGTCGACATGCTTGTCACCCATATGTCATTTTCATCATATTTTTTTTCGAAATTTTCTTGTAATAAATAACTCCATTATAAAATAATTTACGTGCTACACACACACACACACACACACACAAAAGTATATATATATAGACACACACACACACACATATATATAATATACTCACATGCTCGTGCACTCGTACAAAAAATATATAATATATTATATATATATAAAATATATATTATATATGTACATGTATGCATAGAGCAATTTATTTTTTACTATATTATTATATTATGTTATTATATGCTATGTAATAACACATATTTTCTATGAAAGTATATTTAATATTTATAAAATTAGTGCAATTTTTTTTTATTAAATTAAAGAATATATAGAATTAAGATATAAAAAATTACGATTGTACATGTCAACAATACTTAAAAAAAGTAACTAGAAGATTATATTTTATTAAATAAATTATAATAAAGATTATATTAAAAATTAAAATCACTTTCATTCACTTAAATATTTACAGTTAATGGTCTCTTATATAAAATTAGTTAAAGAAATCTTTCAAATAAGTATTTTACTATTACAGGCACAGATATATAAAATGGATGTCCAAACTGGATTGGTATATGTAGCAGTGGTAGTTATTTCTGCAGCAGTTATTGTTTTAGTATCAATGTTCGGTATAAAAGAAAAGTCTTATGAAGAAGCAATAGCGGAGCAAAGAAAACTTCCTGATGATCTTTTGTTAAGTATGTGTAATTCTATGAACAAATAATTTTGTTTATCAGCTATTAAAGAAAACTTTTGTAGCAAATTATTGATTAAGTAGATTATGTTAAATATCTTGAAATTTCATTAAAAGATAGCTTAAATGTTTATGTTAAAAACTAATACGAGTCATCTTAGTAATAGATATGATAATAGTTGTATCAATATTCATTTTAGATAAAAAAGATAAAAGCAAAGAAAAGAAGCATAAGAATAAGGCAGGGAAGAAAGTAAAAGAGAAGAAAGAAGAAAAAGAAGAGAAAGATGATAAGGAAGAAAAATCAGAGCATGTACAGTTTGAAGAAAATCCACAAATTTTACCACTAGAGCCATTATTGCGTGTAAGTACATTTATTAAATCTATGATTATCTCCTTTTAACTTTCAGTTGATGTAAATAATTTCTGTAAAAATATTTTTCTAACTATATATACGTTATTTTCAAAATATAGATATAATAATTAGAACTTAGTCAGAATAATCAGCAATTTAAAAATAAATTTTATAGTATATTTGTAAGTAAAATGTGTTAAATTATAATTAAATTAATAATTTTTTAGTAAAATTGAATTAGAATGGTTACTTATTTTACTTAGTTTACTTATTTTATATTAGTTTACTTAACTCATATATTTTTAAAAGACATTCTTTAATATTAATTGAGATATATAACTAATTATTTGCTTAATTGAAGCTCATTCTTACAATTTTTAAATATTTTTCTATAAAATTCTATATTGTTATTATATAATATTAATATTATATGTATAAATAAAAATATACACAAGCGCTTTTTTTATCCTTGAGTTTCCATACATTTCATGCATGAAATATGGTATGCTTACATATTGTATGTCACACCTATATGTCATTTAAAGTCTTTAAGGTCTTTCTATTCATGATGTATCACATTTCTGGTAGGTGTTATCCAAACCATAATGACTAATAGTAATATTTTAATATGTACCATATAACATCTTATATGATATTTATATATCATTTTAAACTAATACATTTACATGATTTAAGATAATAATCTTACTGAATCAAAGAAATTTATTAAAAATTCCAAATATTTACTTTGTCACTTATATTATTTTTCATCTTAGTTTTTTAATTACTTATACATACTTTAAAATACTTTACATTAACATAAAATAACTGCACACTCCTATATCAATGTAGAAAATCCAATTAATGTTTTCCCCTCTAAAGTCAGATGAACTTTTTGTACAATAAATCTTATATATCTTATATTAAAATGGACATTTGCCTTTTTAAAACGATAATTTTTACATCTAATTGCGTCAAACTTGTATAAAATAAATTTATTTATATGAAAACAAAGTTTTGTAATAAAAAAAATTCAGAAGCAAATTATATTGTAATACATTAATAATAAATGATTGGCATTTGTTATATATATTACAGTAATGCGCATTTAAATATGATTAAAATTTTAAATAGTATTATATTATTCTAATTTTATAATTTTGCGATTCTTTATAAATGTATGTAATATATTTGAAATTATGCCATGGTAAGTTAATTTCAAATTATAACGTTGAATATGTAATAAAATATTTTATTTTGTATTCGTAACCTCAGAAAGCATTTAATATATTTAAAAAGTGAAGACATTAAAAAATTAATGAATTTTTATAGATAAATTAAATTAAATTAAATTAAATAAGATTCTGATATAATATGAAATAAGTTAATTGAAGCAAAAATTTGTTTTTTTGTATGTTATTCATTGATAAACAGTTCTAGGACCTGAAGATTAATTTCTATAAATAACTGTTCCACATATATGATAATGTCTCATTTTTATTGATACTTCATCACATAGATGAAAATTAAAAGAAATAATGAAAAGATATAAAATTTATTAAATAAAATATTCTAGACATATATTTAAATTTTTAAAATTTATCAGAGATGTAATTGGTATTTTTATAATTTTTATATTAGAATTCAGTAATCATAAATAGTATCAAAGTGCTATTTTTTCTGTGAAATAAAATATAGTATGCTTAAATTATCAATGATGCAGTGGATTTATTAATTTCAGGTATATATGTTGGGCAAGAAATCAAAATAAATACAATATTAAGGTGAAAAATGCATCTATAATATTTATATAAAAATGAAATAAAAATTATTAATTATTCTGTTTTTTTTAGTAAATATTTTATCTATTAAAAGATAATAATTAACAAATTATAAATTTTTAATGTATTTATATGTGTTTTATACTCAATAATCAATATAAATAATTTTATATGTCCATTTTAATATAATGTAAGATAAACCTATTGTTCTAAAAGTAGAAGTCTTTTGTCTGTATTACTATTACTTAATTCAACATGTGGAAAACATTTTATATATACATTGAAATCATAGGAGGGTAGCAAAGGAACTAAGAAGAAAAGCAAGCATGAAAAGGTAAAGCCAATTCTTGTAAATAAAGATGAGCCATTGGTTATTGTGACTGAATTAAGTTCTTCACAACCCCTCTCGGCAGAGGCTAATCATTTTGATCTCATTCAACCAAAGGACGACCTCGAACTCATACGGAGTCATAGTGTGAGTGAATTGGTTTTGGTAGAATATTTTATCTCATATGCATTTCATTCACTTTTCATATTTTGCATTACTTACTGCTTCTATAACACAAAAGCTATACAGTATTATGTAGTGCTTATTTTGCATTTTCAAAATGTATTTATACCTTTAATTTTTAAATTAATTTTAATTTTATAGATAAATAATATCTTTAAAATCGTAATAAAATAAGTTTTCATAAATAGAATTTAAACATAAATTTTTAAGTTCATATCATATTTTACGTTATTAATATTTTTACTGCAATATTAAGTCATTTTAATTTTGAATCTTTTTCTTCTTGTACGTTCTGTATATGTTTTTTATAAAATTTTATTAACAAGTATTATAGTATAAAGATGTTTGATTATAAAGATGTTAAATTATTTCATACAAAAATTTTAAAATATATTTCCTAGTATATTTTGGTCTGTTTAACAGAAAGAAAATTTGCAACAAATTGGTCAATCTGAACCAATTATAAATAAATCTCCAAAGGAAACTCCAACAAAATTAAAGAAGAATGTTAAAGATTCAGTGAAAAAGAAGGATGACAATGTTAAGGAAGAGAAAAAAGAAATGGTTAATAATACTAATATACCATCAGTAGTTAATAAAGATTCTGTTAAAGAAGTTAAAGAAATTCCAGTTAAGGATGTAAAAGAAGCTACAAAGGAGACTTCACTATCTGCTCAATCAACAAATAAAGAATCTAAAAAAGCAAAGAAAAAAAATGATATTCTAGCACAAATTGGTAAGTTGATATATTAATTATTTTATATATTTTTTAAAATTAATTTCAAAAAGCTGTATCTGCATTCTATTTAATGCCTTTCCATTGATTCTTCTAATAATCTTACTTGAGAGCAATTTAGTTTATCTTTTAATATATTTATGTTATGTATAATAAAATTATAATCACCCTTTATAGAATAATACTTATCTTTACAATTAAGTTTATTAACATGTTTATTAATCAAATGATCAATTAAGTTTATATTATTAGCTGAATAAAATCATTTTATGAAATAATGTTTATCAAATATTTATAATATATATACCTCTTTTAATTTAAACTATTTTATTTGAGGTGGAGATAAAGATGCTGTTAATGTATCTTTATTAATGCCTTTGGTTCAAAAAGCTGAACTTAGCCGTTCTGAAATACAAATTCTTATCGATCAGCTTTTAAATAAACAAATGGATAATCCATCAGAACACTCAGAATGGACAGAAGGTCGTGCAGATCCAGTTATTAAATTAAAGAAGCAGCTCGCAGAAAAGGAAAAAGCTTTAGCTGATGAACATGAAGCAAATATTGCATTTCAAAATAAATTAAAAGAATTACGTGCTGAATTGAATTCTGAAAGATCTAGATTATCAGCTAATGTAAGACAATTAGAAGAAGCATTAAATGCTAAAGTTACAGAAACTCAAACTTTGCATACACGTATGCAACATATTTTGGAAAGTCATGCTGCTGAAAAACAAGGATTTACTAGACAGATTGAACAACTGCAAACTAAAGTAAATGAAAATGCTGCAATTATTCATAAGATGCAAGAAGATCAGGGACAAACTCAAGGTCATATGCAACAAGAGTTGATTGCACAACGTAAACAAATGGAAGTACAATTTGCACAAATGCGTGAAAACGAAAATGCATTAAAAGCACAATTAGCTCAGAAGCATGTTGAAGTCCAAGAATTGCAAAGTGAATTACAAGCAACTTGTGAGAGTAGTACTGCCGAAATAGAAATGTTACGACAACAATTAGGACTTATGCAAGGACAGTTAATGCATTCAGAAGGACAATTACAACATTTCAAAGAAGCTGGAGATAGATTGCAAGATGTTGCTAGACAGCTTGAGGTATGAAAAAATTATTACATACTTTAAAAATTAGAAATTTTGTATCAAAAAGAAAAGGAGTACAATAGTCTTCTTTCTATTTCTATTTTTTTTATTGATATAAACAAGGCTAAATTTGTCTCTATTTTTGTATCTATAGTAATATCATATCTCTATAATGATATATTGCAATGTAAATGATAAATAAATTATTGATGAGATATTTATAGTATTTTATTTGTTTAGGATTCTCATCGTGCACATGCTGATTTAGATCACAGATTAAAGAATGCTCATCGCCATGAACAAGAACTTCAAAAACAAGTAAATTCGTTGCAAAGTGAATTAAATTCTGTAAAAACAGAAGCTAATGATGCTTCAGCATTAAAAGTAGAGTTAAATAAAACTCAATCTGAATTAATGAAATTAAAATCTGAGCTATCTGTTTCAATGAATGAAGCGAAATTTGAGGCAGCTGAAATTACAGCTCTTAAAATGACACTCGTTAACAAAGAAGAAGAACTAAAAGTATCTCAAGAAAAACTTATTAACAAAGAAGAGGAACTAAAAATATGTCAAGAAGAACTTAACAATGCACGAGCTGAATTAAAGCAGTCAATGGAAAATATGACACAGTTGGAAACACAATTACATCTAGTGCAGAAGAATTTAGATGCTGCACAAGATGAACTTAACAAGACAACGGAAAATCTGAAAATAGCACATAGTGATATTAATAATTATCAATCAAACATGGAAAAATTAAATGAAGAATTAAAGCAAACTCGAAATGAATTAGAAAATACATGTGTAGAACTCAAAGCTGTAAATGAAACAACGAATGAAATGAAAATGTTAAAAGCTGAATTAAGTAGGTTACAGAAACGTGATCAGCGAAGTGAAGCACAGTTACAGCTTACACGACTACAAGAAGAAAATGATAAACTTTCTATACAGGTAGTATTTATTTAAATATCATATAAATGTAAATTATATTTCATTACAAATATATTGATTATTTTTTTCAGCTTACAAGTCTTGCAGATTTGCAAAAACAACTTAAACAATTACAAGAAGAAAATGAATCATTAGCTTCTCAGTTAGCAGCAACTACTGAACGTCCAGCTGCAGAAGGCCGAGAAAATGGAATTGATGATAATGTTCAAAAGAATGTACAACTTGTAGAACAAACAAATTTGTATGTGTATTTTTTATTAAATGTTAAACACATTTTGAGTTTTGATAATTAAGTTTTTCTACATGAATTATATTTTATAGATTGGCCCAAAAAGAGAGTCAATTAAATGCCTTAACGACTGAATTAACACATAAAGAGGTAGAACTCAATCAACTAAATACTCAAATTGATGCATTACGAAGTGATGTAAACAATCAACGTAGTCTTGCTGCACGTTTAAATAATGAATTGGAGGCACAAAGATCCAAAAATAATGTAAGTAATAAATGTGTATAAATAAATTTTTTCCACTATATTTATTTAACATATATGTAAACATAACATATATATGTGTCAATTTTATCAATATTTAAGTAGTTCAATTGTTATATATATTTATATTCAGTTAAATATAAATATAATTTTTTTATATTTATGTATTTTTACAATCAGTTTTTATTGCTTCCATCACTTTGCCAACCTTTTCTCAATTTTTAAATTTCAAAAAAATTTTTTATATATTTGTATTTCATTTATATGAAACATTTATTTCAAATTATTATACTGATCTTCATTTCTTTATGGTTGGAACAGGAATTACGTGTAAAAAACTGGAAAGTGATGGAAGCTCTTTCTGCCGCCGAATTACGTGTTAAATCTAATAAGGGGAAGAACTTCGATGTAAGTCCCCATTTTATCATCTTCATTTTTATTTTTTTATTTTCAAAATATAGATTTAGTATAATATATAATATATACAATTAACTAAATCGCAATCTCTTGTTTTCAATCTCTAATACTATATTTGTTTGTTCTATTTAATAAAATAGATCAAATTTAAATAAAAAAATTTTTATTTATTTCTAGGAAATTACACAAAAAATAAAAGCAGAACAAGAAAAATTAACAAAAACTTTATTAGAAAGGATATTCCCAGAAATAAAAGTGTCTGAAAAATCACATGATCAGTGGCTCAAAGTTTTTGAAGAAAAAGTGAATACAGTTTTAACTGAATTGAAGAAAAAGAACACTGTTGATAATCATTCAGAATTGGAAAAACAAAATAAAAATTTACAAGATATGGTTTCACATTATAAACAAATTATTGATGATACAGTAAGTTTCTATTATATTTATAACTTTTTTATTAAATTTATATTTAAAACATATTTGTCAAAAATTTATTTATAGGAAGGTATGCTTAATAAGCTTCAAAGTCATGTAGAATCGGAAGAAACAAGATGGGAATCTCAGCTTCGACAGAAAGAAAATGAAGTAACAAGTCTTAGGTTTGAATTGAATGAGCTCATGAATAAATTAAATGTAAATGAAAAGGTAAGCTCTGTAAATAAAAAAATGTATTAAAAATATATTGTATCTAATATATATTTTTCGAAATGTGAAAATGATTGTTTTATTTATCTGTAGTTACAAGACAAGGTAGTAGAATTGGAAATCAGGTTAAAAGAAGCTGAATCTTTTAAAGAACAAGCTAATACTGAATTATTAACACTTAGATCTACGTCAAAATTGGTTTTGAGTGAAATTGATTCCCATGATTTAAGTACATTAGAAAAACTTCAAGAGGTAAATAAATATAAAAATAAATTATTACTTGATACATATTAAAGACTATAAATCTGTATATTAATTTTAGGAAAAAGCACGATTGTCAGAGGAGCTTCAAATAGAATGTAACAAAAGAGCGGCAGTAGATGCAGAACTGGATAAATTGCGATGTGTAGTTACTCAGCTTCATCAACAAATGTCACAACTTAAGGTGTGTATGTGTGTGTGTGTGTGTGTGCGCGCGCGCGCGTATGTATAGATAATTTGAATGACATATTTTGGAAATTAAAAAAATATGTATTTTTTAACTTATGTTTTTAAATTGGAAATATTAATGTATTTTATTAATTTTAGAGTGAAGTTTATGGAGGTTGTAGCAGTTCAGAACAACCAATGTTAAATGGACCGCCAACTTCCGAATGTCCTAATTCCGAGGTTAGTATACATTGATTTTAAATGTTTCGTAAGTGTCCTAATTAATTTTTGTCCAGTGCCTTTTGTATAAAAAAGTTAAAAAGCTTATGTTATAGCTGTAATGACAAAAATTATGGCTATAATGCGAACATGTGAGAATCTACATAATGCTGCAAAATTTTGACGTGATGTATTAATTATAATTAATTTGTGAAAATAATTACTAACAACAGATTTTTGCGTTTTGCTGTTATTGTACTATATGTAATGATTACATGGTAACAATTTATATATAGATATTATTTTGTAAAAGTCAGTTACATACTTAAGGAATTCAATAAAGCAAATATTTTATATTCAATTGAATTCTCTTCTATTCAACCAATTTATTTGATGAATTTATTTGATGAAATATGATTCTAATGTTTAAATTGCCTTTTACAAAGTATTATCTATAAAAAATTTGTTGTTTACTAGATACGTAATATAGGCAATCAAATTGATAATTAATGGGGAATACATAACAGTTGTATTAAATATAATTAAACTTTCTTGGATTTTATTTTAATATTAGCAACAAGAAAGCTCAAAATTATAATTTTAAACTTTTTAACTCGTTTGCTAAATTTTATAAATTTAGCAAATATAAATGTGATATTATTACTTGAACATATTAATTTAATTAATATATAATTTTATTTATATATTATATATTATATTAAACTCATAAATGTCAATTATTCAATTATCACAATTTATCCTTATATAATACTTTTATTCTGAAAAACTTTAACTAGATTTGTTAATAATCTATTATATGATTGCTAACAATAGAGATTAATTTGCTAATGTTGCTACCACTTTTGCTATTTTGTAGATACTTTATGTATAATTTTGTATTTAGAAAAGTGATATATTAAAAATTTACATTTTCACAATTACTATAAATAAAGTAATAAAGTAATATGGACATTATTCTTTACTGGTATTAATGAAATTATTTTGCAAAAAGAAAATATTTTATTATTAATATTCTAATTATGTTATTTTTATTAAAAAAGATTATTTATTTTAAAAATCATATATTTGCCACATTTATTCATGTGCCAAAAATGTAAATTTTTTAATAATATAAAAAATAATTTCAAATTCTATCATTTTTCTAAATACAAAAAACTTTCATGGAATATATATTACTTTGAAATAATATAAGAAAAGTATGTGAATTATTCTAATAAAATATAAAAAGTTGAAATTTTTATCAAACGGATATCACCAATTTGATTGTTGTGTACCACTTGATCTTTGAACCATTTGTTAACAAAACGACAATTTTGAAAATTTTTCCTTGCTCCTTACATTAAAAAATTTGATAAATTGTCGTATTTAATATAATATGATGAGTTAAATAATTATATACCTGAAACGCAGCTCCCAGTAGCAACACAGACTCTGATAGCTGCATTAGAAAATATTCTTCTCAAGAATACAGAGTTCGCAAATTGTTCCATAACCAAGCCTATCAATTTGGTTCAGTGTCAACAAGAAATTGACAACAGCCCCCTTACTACAAAATACTCCTCCAAATCTTGTCATATGACAGATCACAACACACAGGCTAGCTGGAATCCGTTGATGGGCCAGCAGCATAAAAAGCACAAGAAAAAAAGGAAGGTAAACTTCAAAATTGTGAAAAGAGGAACAAATATTACTGGCTCTGTATAGGTGCACCTCAGTTAGTTATTAAAATATGAAATATTTTTATTTGGGCTCAAGTATTACAATGAATGTTATTTTAAATTGTATGTTATATATTTTATTATTTCTAATTATTATATTCATTATGAATGATGTTCTATAATATAATTTTCTATTTAAAAAAATCAAATGTATATATATTCATTCATTATATATCTTCGCATATTTTTGATCTTAAACAATTTTAAATTGTCTATGAATTAAATAATATAAAATTTGAAATTTTTGCCACAATTAAAGTTTAAAAATAATAATAAAATAATTTATATACCTAAATATACCTAAAATAATAACAATTCCTTGTGATAACTCTGAGTCCTATGTTGACATTTTGTTATCAATATTACAGAGTATTATTTATTAGTCTATAATTTAAACAGTATTTTGTAGTAGTTCTTAATATATCAATAATTTCATTGTTATGTTGTTTATTGTGGCTGTTTATAAAAATATTAAGAGCAACCATTTACAGTGTAGTTATACACAAAATAATGAATTTAATATATACATATAAATTGTGTCTTATTATTATACATTGAAATACTTATGTATTATTTTGCGCATAGCAAGATAATATTCTGCACAATTTATTAAAAGTTATTTAAATACAATTTATGTTTAATTAATGTATGCATAT